GGTTGGGGGCACCCTGCCCAGGGTTTGGGGTGCTCAGCCTGGTTCGGGGTGCCCTCCCGGGATTTGGGGTGCCCTACCCATGGTTTGGGGTGCTCAACCCTGGGTTTGGGGTGCCCTACCCATGGTGGCTCAGTCCCCACCATGCCCTGACTGTCCCAGCAGCATTGCACACTCACACTCACACATTGAACACGCACACGCACAAATCACGCTTGCACATGTATCGTGCACACCTGCACACACAAATCATGCTTGAACACACATGGTGAATGTTTGCACACGCATTTTGCCTGAGCACACGCAGACATCAGGCACGTATGCACACATATCATGTTTAAACACACACATCATGCTTGAACACGCTCAATTCACACACATCGTACATAACTGCACAGAAAAATAAAACCTGAACACGCAAATCACACATTTGTGACCACACAGCACACATGCTTGCACACACGTGTTTAAACACACACATCATGCTTGAACACGCTCAATTCACACACATCATACATAACTGCACACAAAAATAACACCTGAACATGCAAATCACACGTTTGTGACCACACAGCACACATGTTTGCACACACACCATGCATGCACACAGATCATGCAGGCTTGAACATGCACAGATCATTCTTGAACACGTGCACACCATGCATGTGCACACAGCTCATGCCTGAACATAGGTCATACGTGGTTGCACAAACATGGCGTGGGTGCCATAAGCACACCAGGGATGCACACACGTGTGCCACGTGTGATTAGAAAACATGGATTGTGTTTGCTTGAACATGCATATCATGCATGTGAACAGATTATGCAGGAGTGCACACAAAAAATCAGGTGTGCACATGTATCACACACACGTCACATGCACCACACACACGTCACACACGTTACACACATCACACACATCATACACATATCACACACACATATCATACACATATCACACACGTCACACACATGTCATACACATAGCACACACATGTCACACACATATCACACACATCACACACATATAACACAGAGATGTCACACACACATATCACACACATCACACACACACATCACCTATAACACACATATTACACACATGTCGCACACATGTCACACACATAACACACATATCACACATATATCACACACATATCACACACATATAACACCCGCATGTCACACACATATCACACACATATTGCACAGATAACACACACATATCACACACATATCACCCATATAACACACACATATCACACACATGTCACACACATATGACCCATATAACACACATATAACACATATAACACACATATAACACACATATAACACACATATGACACACATATAACACACATATAACACACACGTCACACACATATGACCCATATAACACACATAGAACGCACATATATCACACACACGTCACACGCATGTCACATACACATAACACACACATCACACACGTCACACGTGTCACACACATATGACCCATATAACACACATATAACACACATATGTCACACACATATTTCACACACATACGACCCATATAACACACATATAACACA